CACTGGAGGCTGATTAAAGGTCGACGGCTGCGGCAGCGCTCTCTGTTGTTGCTGCGGTGATCGCTGCAAAGAGGAACGACGCGCGAAAGCTTGCAGCTCGTCCATTTTTTGCTCTGACTATAACGACGTGAAGCCTGTAGTGGGCAATGGCTACCAATATAATTTGAGTTTACAGACCGCAGTATCTTAAACTCAGCTTAACTACTGCGTCTTCACTCCAGATGTTAGGTTGCTGTCTTTGCTAAGACTTAGCAACTCACCAAAGTTAGTGAGCAGCTGATTGTCCGCTGCAATTTCCAGCACTACTAACAGCTGTTACAAATTTTTTCGCGCTTAAAAGAAAAGGAAAGAGGAAAGCCCTGACGCCAAAACAATGACGCTATTGCCACCCTCTCTTGCACCATTGTATTCTACCACCGGGGTACTCCACGAACCGCCGCGCAGTAAGTCTCTGGTAGCTTTCAAGGTCGCTGGGTACGTTGCGCCCAAAGCATACACGTTTTCTTTAGATATTTCCACTTTCGCAGGGAAAAACTCGGAACAAGCTATAGTCAACGATGGATCACAATAACATCGACCGCACTTCACGAAAACGCAACTCGAACTCTCTGTATGCGTGTGGGTGCGTGTTGGTGTGTGTGTGTGCGTGTTGTGTGTGTGTGCGTGTTGGTGTGTGTGTGTGCGTGTTTCTTGTGTAAGCGAAAGACGCGAAAAATTATATAAATATCAGTTCCTCGAAGGGTTCAGGGGATCTCGTAGTCGGGCAGTCTCGACTAGAGCTTTCTTACTTGTTTTTGACGCTTGGTATTAATTATTGCGGCTAGAACTGTCTGCACTTTGTTGGGTGGAGGCTACCGACTTGATATTATTTATGATAGGGATTCGAGATAGCGCATCGGGTACAATATTGTCTCTTCCTGGTTTATAAATTAATTCGTAGTTGAATTCTTCTAAATATGCTTTCCATCTTTTTATTCTAGCGTTTCCGTTCCAATTACTTAATGAATGTGTTGATGGTTGGTGGTCTGTGTATATTTTTACTTAAGTTTTGCCGTACAGCTAATTTTTGAGGGCTTTGAGGGCCCAAATGATTGCTAGCATTTCTTTCTCGTTTGTAGTACTCTAAAGCTTTTGAAAGAGTTCTAGAAAGGAATGTAATTGGATGGCGATTTTAAGATAAGACGGCTCCAATGGCAAAGTTGGAGATAAATCAATTTTTTTGCGGATAGGTTTATGGACACACATCCATCTTCCCCTCTTAATAGAGAGCTAAGAGGCTTTGCGAAATCCTGAATAAATCTTCGGTAAGAGCTCGAGAGACCCAGGAATGATCTCAAGTGATTTGGATCTATTGTTTTATGCTTACAGATAATGGATTTCGGTTTCTATTTTTAGATATTAAACCTAGTTTATGATTAGTATTAGTACAACTTAATTTACTATTATTATTTTTTTATTTTTATATATTAAGACAAGTAGCTGGTTTTCCCTTCGACTTTGGAGGGTCCCTTTGGAATCGCAAAGTTGGGCTATGCTATACTACGTCTGTAGTCACTTTAAATTTGATCTCTTTATGCTTTTTTATTCGTTATGTTTTCTTTTTATATTCTATGTTTGTTCTTTATTTTTCTTAACTTTTTCTTTTTCTTTTTTGCTTAGATTTTCTTAAGCTAGGTACACACGATGCAAACAATTTGCAGCAAGTTGAAAATAATTTGCAGCAAAAGTTTGCACAAATGTTCACACCAATGCAAATATTGCATGCAAATTACTTGCTGCAATCAATTTTTGTTTTGCACGCAAACTTTTGCATGGCTATTTCGTGCAATATATTGCATTAATGTCTACACGTGTTATCCGTTTTTGTTTTTGTTTGCACTGCTTGCAAGTGACACTCATTTGCAAGTTCAGTTGAATTGAAAAATTCAAGGAATAACGACGTGTTTATATTATGTCGGCACAACAATCGAGAGTTGCTGCTGTTGCTATATTAGCAATTTTCATAAAACAAAAAAAAAATGAGAAGATCAAAGTCTGCCAAAAAAAAAGTGTTGGGTGAAAGAGTGGATTTCTAAAAGAGATGCAAAAGGAGAGCATCAGAACCTTTTAAAAGAGCTACAATATGGTGATGAAAAAAACTATTACAATTTTCGCATGTCAGTCAGTGATTTCAATTTTTTTTTAGAAAAAGTACATTTTTTTTTAGCATTTTCGCGATAACCCTTTTGCTTTTTATTACTTTTAAAGTCTGCTGACGAAATATCCCATAAAACTCAAAAATTCTCGTACAATTCAATTAATTCAATCGTTTTCTCGCGATCCCACATTTTGCTTTGCTTGCTGCAATATTGCGGCTGAAAGCAAACAGCACATGCAAACAAGCAAACAACTGACGCAACCAAGCTAACGGCAAAATTCTGTGTTCAGACGACAAGCAAAAAAAGTTGCCGCAAACAGTTATTGCAAATTTTTTGTTTGCAGCAAAATGTTTGCACTCGTGTTCAAACGTGCAAATTTTAGCAATCAACTTGCTGCAAATTGTTTGCATCATGTGTACCTAGCTTTACATTTGTTTGTTTTAGTTTCGTTAGTTTTGTAATATTCTTATATTTCTAACTTACAAAAACGATGATGTGGCGGTCTTCACTGTTGGTCCGAATTTTATCCTTTTTGGTTATTCCTACTGGGGATCCTGCGACCAGACTCCGTTGAAGTATCCTGTGGGCGGACCGTACAGGCAATCGATGCGCAATCGAACAATTACATTCAAGACTACCTTCAGCGAATTTCACCGACCGTCGAAATCACTTCTTAGAATTGCTGGAGCTCTGGTTGGCGTGTGCAGGAAGTCCGCTAGACGTGGTGTCGGCAAATTTGGCTTATTGGTCCGATCAGCTTGTTATGCCTTATTTGTGTTGCAACAATTCCCATTGGATTTTGTTAAAAATATTTTAAACTATAGCAATTTTTAAGTCTTTTTAAAGGTTTTTTTAATAAAACAAAAATTTTCCTAAATAGAATAGGGTATTTACTTCAACGTACATTTTTTCAAAATTCAATAACCAAAGGAAGAAAAAAAAAATAATAAGAACGTTGCAGTCGGGCAATACCAATTGCAGAATACTCAATCACAGCCCAAACGCTGTCAATCAGAGTATATAATGCAATTTTCAATCAGCGCATGATCCCATTAAAATTGGAAAAAATTTCGATAGCTATTGCTATCATCATTACATTCAAATTACATATATAATTTACACAATTTTGATTTTTATTATATATATATATATATATATATATATATATATATATATATATATATATATATATATATATATATATATATCCATATATTGGATACCGGCTTCAAGCTAACAGCAGCTCAGCGTGATTTTCCTATACATGTGCACACACTCATCGTCTATTCTATGCGTACAGACAGAAGCGCGGCATTTCTCACATTCTTAGAATTTCGATTGATTTCTCGATTTTCTCACCGTTACTGTAGTGTTGTCTGATGACGCTCTCTTATTAAGCTATTTTATTTTAGCAACTGACTGGTCAAGCAAAGCAGTGGTGCGGGTGCTAAGGGCGACACAAGTTATGTTAGAGTAGGGGAGGTTCGAACCTCTTCGATGTTTTTTTTTTTTCATAGTTATTTGGTTTTTTATAAAATAGATATTTTTTTGGGAAGGTGCGAGCTTGAATGAATGGCACTTAATACTTTTCTTTTTCTTAGTCGAATAATTTTATAAGTTTAAATTTGTTTCTTCTTAAATAGCCCTCAAATACATATACGCAAATACATACATATGTATGTATGTATATATATGTAAGTCTGCACGCATAGCATCAAGCATTCCAGCCTTATACACGCGCTCATTTGTATGTGTGTATGTATGTACACAAAAATGCGTACTCTAGCATATTCTAAGAATCTCAGTGGCGATTGATTTGTCTTTGCATTGTTTTTGAATTTCCAGCTGCTGGCTTTTATTTGCTATATGGTGTCATAACAATAATGTGATTTCGTTTTAACTACTGTTGCTCGAAACGACGCGGTGGTGCTGTAGGCAGAAGCGCCGGCGATCTTTATTTTAGTTATTTTGACAAACATGCTTTTTGGCTTGGGTGCGAGTTCAAATTTTTGTTATTTTAGCTTATTTTATATTTATTAAATTGCATAAAAATGTTTCTTTCTGTACTATGAATTAATTAATCTTATTTATATGTACAAATACATAATTAGATAGCTGACGCATATAAATGTCGCAATTCGGGCACTATAAATGCCGATTGTCACGCCCCTAGTGGCCATAGATTTCTCATTTGGGGCCAGTTCCTAGAACGAGCAACCGGTAACCTGAATGCAAAATTGGAATTCTTACGCTCAAAAAATGCGAAAATTACAGGCTATTTTTCGATATGCCCCGCCTCTAAAGAGGCGTAAAAACAATTTTTAGGGCATCGATAGAAGAGGCTACCAGTAACTCAACTATCCAATCCAATCCAATTTGAAGCTTCTAGCTCTTAAACTGTAGAAGATATAAACTTTTGCGGTTTGCTACGCCCCCTATGGGCGGACATATATCTACCATAGCCCGTTGGACTTGGGTGGTCAACCCGCGTATATATACCAAATTTCAGGTTTCTACCATCAATAAATATAAAATATAGCAGAATTAGAAAACTAACTATATTTTCAGGTCCGATTTGCCACGCACGCCCCTAGTAGGCGTAGATATTTAATTTTTTCACTTATCTTTATAGAATTAAAACATCAGCTCACGTGCCATTTCCTATGTTTACAGCTTTAGGAGATACAGTTTTATCTGATTTGCCACGCCCCCAATGGGCGGAGATATATCCGCCATAGCTCGTGATCTTGGGTGGTTGACGCGGAAATTTCAGCTTTCTAGCTCTTCAACTAACATGATTTCTGGTATATCGGAACATGCGTTTTCCGATTTGTCACGCCCCTAGTGGGCGGATCGGGAAAATTTTAACACTTTATAAATCGAAAATATACACGAGTATGACTTCCAAATTTCAAGTGTTTAGCTTCAATAGCGCCGAAATAGACTGCATTCATACGGACGGACGGACAGCAAGACGGACATTGCTTCACTTTCGTGAATGAGTATACAAAAAAAAAACAAGAAACCTCTAGTCGAGACTGCCCGCCTACGAGATCCCCTAAACCCTTCGAGCAACTGATATTTCAATAATTATTTGCACTTTATAACTGGAAAAATGTGTTGTTTACGCAAGCTAAAAGCCTGGACTTAACCCTCGTTTTGATTTTGTGGGCTTATCTGAAGAAGAGGATCGCCCAGAGGCATCCTAAGAATAAAACTGAGCTGAAAACCATTGTTTTGGAGGAATGGCAAAATATTCCAGTGGAATATGTCAGAAACGTGGTCCAATCGACGAATAGACGCTTGGGAGCAGTCATAGATGCCATCGGTGGTCAAAAAAGTATTAGTTTTAACCATAGCTCGCAAATAACTGTTAACACTTTTTCGTTGTCTGCAAAAAAGTGCCTTTCACTGACACAGTCAAAAAAACTCAGACAGAAACTGTTTTTGTCGCGTCTGGCTTAGCTCTCTCGCGCTCTGAGGGAGACAGTTATTTCTGTTTTCGTTTCCTCAAGTCAAACACTGATCGTTTGCTTGAGTTAAATGAAGTAACGGGAAGTTGCGTTTGTATGGGTAATCACGCGCGATTGCTGCGTTCTTTTTGTATGTATGTATGCGTGTATTTACATGCACACGAAGGCAAAAACATTTTCTGCTGAGTTTTTTAGTCAAAGTGTTTTTTGCTGAGAGGCTTTGTGTGAGGGAAAATCGTGTTAGTTTTACGCGACACTCATGTGAGAGCGTCACACGAATGAGTCATCGCATTGCGTCTGAGCGAAACAGATGCTAAAGAAAACAGAGAGAGACGTGTCTGCACAATTTTTTTTGGATATGATGCGAGGAAGAGAATAAACGCTCAACTCTCATTTGCAAGCTCTGGTTTTAACTACAAAGTAGTTAAAACACTATAATGAATTAATTGTTCTAGTTGTGTAAACACTTTCTTGTCAGCTGATTTTTGTTACTTCTTTTGTTTTTTGTTATTTTCTTTTGTTAATGGAAACATATATATTTTTTTTGCTTACTAATATAGTTTATAGTCTAATTTACCTATTTTACAAATAAAAAATTGAATATGCATATTCTTACAGTTTTCATTTCGCTTCAAAGTAAAAAATTAAAATATTTTTCCTGTGTGTAAACACTTTCTTGCCAAACTGCATTTCATAATGATAGTCCCACTACAAGAGAAAATATTCAACTAATAAATTCTCATAATATTGCCCACACTGCGCAGCCTTAGCACTGTGCTGTTAGCAGAGCGCGTGATTATACGTGCGTGTTGATGCGTTTTTATGCTTGTGTGCATAAAAGAATTGCAGAATGCGTAGAATATCAGCTTAGAGTGGTCAAAGTATCTCCTAGTCGAGCTTTGTCGATTAGAGCCTTCTTACTTGTTTATTTAGCGTGATATAAATTTTCGAGACTCAACTGTATAATGGTTTTGTTAAAAGTATAAAACACGCTGAAGGAGGCGTAGTAGACCCCACAAAGTATAGTTCGCGATGTCTGTCTGTCTATCCGCCTAAGTGTAAGAACGCGTCGAATTCGCATATAGAGTTTATTTCTAAAAATCGATAACCTCTCCCGTTATTTTGTTATCGATTAAAAACCTTATCGAAAATCAGAAATATAATCATATCTCCTAGACCCAAAACTTTATAAAATTTTGATTTTTGTTAAGTTCTACCCCCAGCATCCAAATTCACCCGTTTACACCTCATGGCGTTCCCCCCACAACGAAGGAATTGACACCCGATACAAATAAACAAAATTTTGTCCATTTAACTGGGGTGTTAACAACTAAGGAATACACCAATTTTCTTAATATTTCACCATAAATCTTGAGAATTTATTCCACCTATTATGGAAAATCGTCGCAGTGTACTGGTAGAAGGCGTGTTTCAAATTGTATAAACTTTGAGCTTTGACAAATATCCGTATTGTAATATTATTATCACGATCTAAAAGACTAGAGCTTTCTTACTTGTCTATTTTCAATGGGTTGTAGATTTATTCACTGCTCTTTACCATCCATAGTGTCACGGACCTCCTAGTCGGGTACACCGACTAGAGTTTTCTTACTTTTTTTTTTTATAACTGATACAATTATTGTTTGCTTATGTCTGAAACCCTAGTTGGTGGACCTGAAGGACATCTCCATAATGAATATACATAAAAATCTATACTTACCGATTGGCTTAAAACCGCGGCATACGTGGCGATGTTACGTGCTTGAAAAGCATCCCGGACTTTTGATTATACGTAATCCATTTACATCCAGAGGACAGCGTTATTGGATAGCTCGAAGTCTTCGTGATTATCCGCTACCACCCAATATAGTGAACTTGGATACAAAACATTTTCCGTCTAAGACAATAGCTGACTGGTGGGGAGAGTTACATAACTGTACTGACCCAAATGTCATTCACCGTCTTAAGACTGCGATGCGCTGGACCACTTTAGGGTACCATCATAACTGGGATACTAAGATTTACGATAAAACAATCCACACTTTGTTCCCAAGTGATTTAGATAGTTTGTCCCAATATTTTGCTTTTGCTCTAGGTTTTCCGAGTTTTATTCCACAAGCCGCAATTATTAATTACTATCCGATTGGAACTTCTTTATCTGGACACACCGATCACTCCGAGATGAATCACGAAGCACCGCTATTCTCATACAGGTATATATGATGTTTTTAATTGTTTTTTATACCCTGAACCCATTGAAAATGGGAAATCAGGGTATAATGGTTTTGTTGAAATGCATGTAACAGGCAGAAGGAGGCGTGGCAGACCCCACAAAGTATATATATTCTTGATCAGGGCGACGAGCTGCCGAGCTGTCCGTCTGTCTGTCTGTCCGTCTGTCCGTATGTTTGAACGCGTCGATTTCCGAAGATATAAGAGCTAGAGACTTCAATTATTTTTTAAATGACCGTATATACAGCGCAGATGTCGAGTTTGCTTTTAAAATTCGATAAATCATCCCGTTATGTTTTTATCGAATAAAAACATTCAAGTTCAAGTCAGATGCCAGCATTGTTGAATGGTTTTTTTTTTTTTTTTAAATTTGTCAAATATTCAATATAATATGTAGATCATATGCTGAAAGTTTCAATTAATTCCGTTAAATAATAAAAATAATAAAATGTTTGGCCAATTAACAAACGCACGTGCAGCAGCTACAGCAGTATCCTATATGTGTGCACACATGCATTCAAACTTCTTCTAGAACATTCTTTGAATCACATCAGCAGTTAGTTTGGTGTATTTTTGCTAGATGGCGCTGCAGCAGGGAATCTATTTCTGTTTTGCCAACGCTCGACCGAGAAGTCGCGGGCTCGAATCCTGAGCGGTGCAACTGATAGTTTTTTTAAATTTTTTTTAATTGTTTCAAAATATTTTTATATATTATTAAATGAGTTTTGTATTTCATTTATATTTTTAAACACATCGAAATTGATATTTTAGCCATACTAAATGGGCATTTTTATTAGTTTGGTTCAGGGTAGTATCTAGTCGAGCACTCTCGACTAGAGTTTTCTTATTTATTTATTTATTTGGAACTTGTCTTAACATATTTTATGTTAAGACAAGTTACAAATATAGAAACGTAAATTGACTAACTATAAATAAACGGATGGTTCAAGCTCCAGTTGATTTAATCTTTACTACTCTACTCTACTATCTATTTCAGTTTCGGCCAAACTGCTATATTTCTAATAGGTCACCGTTCACTAGAAGAAGAACCTAGTGCTCTGTATCTCAGGAGTGGAGATGTTCTAGTTATGTCAAAGGAATCGCGACTCTGCTATCATGCCGTTCCGCGCATTTTGAAAGCTTTTGAAGATCCTTGGAACAATTTTTTTTCAAATCCTCAAGAAAAGATTGGGGACACATTTACTACTTCAATGAATTTAGCATTATTCGAACAAGTCAATGACGAATTATTTTGGAAGCCGTTTGACCGCTATGTCAGTGATTGTCGCATAAATATTAATATTCGTCAGGTCTACCATTCAGATAATATGTGCTTGTAGCGATTGATTTTTTTTTTTTTTTTTTTGTGTTTTCTTTTATAAATAAAAATACTAATGTTACGAAATACCTCGCTTAAACATGCTATTATGGAATTAATGGATAACAGTTAATGAATTTTAAGTTGTATAATTCTTATTTTTATTTATTTTGTTAATGTCTGCACGTTCGTTTTCGAAAACGATTATTATTTCCATTGAAAAGTCGATTAAGAAACTGTTGACGAGTGGATGAGAAGAACCACAACGTTTGGTTGTATAGTGAGACTGAGTTTATTATTATTCTTAACAGCTAAGTACATAATAGCGTTGCCACTAATATTAGAATTGTCAGATAACCAGAAATGAATCCCGGTTCAAATGGGACATTGACGAGCAAAACTGTAACACGAAATCAATATTGTAACTTCAATATTGTAACTTCCATCTGACCCTAACCGGTTAATTTTTGTTTCATCAGACCATATTAGCCGTATAAACCAAAATTTGGTTGGACCCTAGGCTTTAACCGATGTAATAATGCTTCAGGAGCAATACATGAGCATTCTATAGCACAATTTGGTAAAAGCACTAACCAGAGAACACATAGACTAGATATGTAGAACAAATTTTTCTACAGCAGAAAATGTTAAGTTGACTATACTTCGTATTTGCTCGGCTCGGTCGCTGGAGGTTCGAGCACTGAAAATATTGCACCACAAAGTCAGTGCGCTGCAAACGCTCAAACGAGACGGTCCCATTTTTATATGAAGCGTAGCTATGCGCTATTTGTCCTACTCTCTCTCTCTCTGTCTGTCTTTCTCTCTCTCTATCTCTCTCTGTGGTCTCTCAAATCGCCGAACTCAGCAGCCCACAAAAATAGAAATTTGTTCGCGACGATCCCAGCTCTTTCCTTTTGAGTGAGGGGTATACCTATATCATAAAAGCGTTTGTCAAGCTCATGCAAACAAAATGTAGCGTTTCGATGGATATTCGTGGAAGGGTATGAAAGCGTTGATACGCATAAACAATATAATTTCGCGACGAGCAAGCACACACACACTTGCCGCCTTTGCAAATTGTAAAGCCGAAAATTGGTCATTGATCGGTCTTACGGACTGTCATATCCACTTCATATAGATGTACATATGTACATACATATATATATTATTATACAAATTCATGTTTATAAATGCATAGATCGATAAAATACTGTAATTATATATACATAATTAAAATTAGGTTACACACATTTTCAACCGAAGAGATGATCGTGGTATACTAATAAGTTTATTAAATGCTATGCAATATATCGGGTAGCGGACTATAAAAACATTAATTGGACATAGACATGTCATACTAACTCAAGATGTACTCATTATCAGCGTTTGAAAATGCTACGCTACTCCGTATTTTTTTCGTTTTGCTCTCGCTACCGCTCTTATTTTTGACGAGAGCCGTAGCAGAGCCGTAGCCTAACAATAAAAAGTTTGTGCCCTGTTCTGCTCTCGTAATTTGTTGTGTTAAAATCTGTAGCGATAGAAATAGCACAAAACGAAATGATGCGGTACGCTCTGCAGAAAGCGAAAGCGATAGCTGAAAACAGAGAGCGAGATGAAAACATAGCAAGATGAGAACAGAATTAGATGAGAACATAACGAGATGATAACAGAGCGAGATGAGAGTAAAACAAATTTGCTAGAGCGGTATGAGCAGCAGCAGATCTTTAAATAAGATCGTGTTTTTAATTTAAAAAGCATTTATTGTTACACGAAATTGAAATCGATGATAAAGCAAGTGAGATTTGTGATTCTGTTGCCACTTCTAAAAATTTAAAACATCAACTAGTAGAAGTGAAAATCAACAGAAAAACATTAATTCGGTCATATATTGGCCTTGTAACTGAAGAACAAAAATTGCAGTAAAAACAAAAAAGATCTGCTGCTGCTCATACCGCTCTAGATTGATTAGATAGATTAAGATTGTATGTCTACAAAAGAAATTATTCAACAAATAAATTCTCATAATATTGCCCACACTGCAGCGCAGCCCAAGCGCAGTCGCTGCTAACTGCGCAGTCAGCAGAGCTCGTGATTATACGTGCGTGTGTATGTATGTGTGCATAAAAGAAGTGCAGAATGAGTAGAATATCAGCTTGGAGGGCTCAGGGTATCTCCTAGTCGAGCAGTCTCGACTGGAGCCTTCTTACTTGTTTTTAGTACATTTTGTGCGTTCTTATGTCGATTTTGGCTTAGTGTTTTTGCTAGGGTAGCCTGGGGGTGTCAAAATTTGTATTGATATTAAAGAGGACATCTTCCTTAACACGTGTGCATAAGCCGATGCTCGGAGCTCGGTGGAACTCAAAAGATGTAGACTACTTTAGGTAAAACAAGTAAGAAGGCTCCAGTCGAGACTGCTCGACTAGGAGATACCCTGAACCCTACAATTGATATTCTAATCATTCTGGACTTCTTTTATGCATACATACATACACATGCACGTATAGGCACGCGCTCTGCAAACTGCGCAGCTAGCAGCGGCTGCGCTTGGGCTGCGCTGCAGTGTGGGCAATATTATGATTAATTTATTTGTTAAATAATTTCTTTTGTAGACATACGATCCTAATGAAACTTTTAGAGCGTAATCATATGGCTAAAATGTGTGTACATTCCAAAGCACAAGTCACTAGTACTTGAAATGCGTTTTTTTACAAATTGGGGGCGAAGGGGGCGTGGTATCCAAAATCTGTAAATTACAAAATCTTTGTATCTATTAATTTTATATACAACGCAAATTTGAAGTCTCCAGGTCTAAAAGTGTTCAAATTAAGCTGAAAAAACAATGTCGATTTTTCGATTATTCTCGATAAAAAAGTTATCGGACAAGTTATCGAAAAAATAAAGCAAACTTGTACTGCCTATGGTATACACGAGTATGCATGCCAAATTTCAGCTCTCTAGCTCTTATATCTTCTGAGATCCTTTTGCTCATACGGACGGACGGACGGACGGACAGACGGACAGGGCTATATCGACTCAGCTCGTCGTCCTGATCAAGAATATATATACTTTATGGGGTCTGCGATGATTCCTTCTGCCTGTTACATACTTTTCACAAAACCATTATACCCTGATTTCCCATTTTCAATGGGTTCAGGGTATAAAAAATATCAAACTTAGAGGTTTAGTAAATTTAAACCAGCTTTTTAATGAAACGTCGTATTACTATGATTTCCATAGCTCGCAAATAACTGTTAACACTTTTTCGTTGTCTGCAAATAAAAGTCTTTCACTGACACAGTCAAAAAAACTCAGACAGAAACTGTTTTTGTCGCGTCTGGCTTAGCTCTCTCGCGCTCTGAGGGAGACAGTTATTTCTGTTTTCGTTTCCTCAAATCAAACACTCATCGTTTGCTTGAGTTAAATGAAGCAAACGGTAAGTTGATTTTGTATGGGTAATCACGCGCGATTGCTGCGTTCTTTTTGTATGTATATATGCGTGTATTTACATGCACACGAAGGCAAAAACATTTTCTGCTGAGTTTTTTAGTCAAACTGTCTTTGTGTGAGGGAAAATCGTGTTAGTTTTACGCGACACTCGTGTGAGAGCGAAACAGATGCTAAAGAAAACAGAGAGTGACGCTCAGAGCGAGACGTGTCTGCACAATATTTTTGATTATGATGCGAGGAAGAGAATAAACGAAAAAACGATCAACTCTCATTTGCAAGCTCTGATGGTTTCTTTTATATTATCTTAGAAATATACAAACCGTTAAAACGCAACCAACACGGCAAAAATTGGTGCTTTATTTTTCGTACAATTCAATTGACAAGTGGAACATTTTTCACAAAAAATCGCTGCTTTTTGCAGCCACTTTCCCAAATTTTGAAGGGCTATAACTCCTCTTAAAATTGACCGATTTTCAAAAAATCTTTTAGCTACTATCCCGTAGATCAATTCATTTTCATATGGGATTAACTTTTTTAAAATCACTTCAAGTCACATTTCTGATTTTTGCCACACCGGCAGAGGCGCCACTGTGCAACGATACATTTTGGATTTACAATTTGCACAGGTAACGAACAATTTTCATTTTTTGTGCGCTGCTGCTAATTGAGAGACCATAGAGACCGAGCATAAAGAGGGGGAGAGAGAGTAAGAGGACATAACCGATCTTCATTTGGGAACGTATGCATTTCGTGGCAGCGGTCGCAGCGCACTGATTTTTCCTTACCTTATTTTCACTGATTGAGCCTCAAAAGAACGAGCCGAGCATATACGAAGTTGTCTGGTCTCTTCGGCGCATTTTTTCGTTGTTGAAAAAAATTGTACTACATGTCTAGTCTATGTGTTTTCTGGTTAGTGGCAAAAACGAGCTAGTGAGAGAAAAACAAGCGAGTGAACCAAAACGAACTAGCACTAACCAGAGACCATAGACCTGACCCGTAGTGTAAAGCGTTTTGCACACTTTTTTTTCGAGCTTTGCGTCCCACACAACTTCGTATTTGCTCGGCTCTTCACTTTTAGGTTCGGGCTACGAAAATATACGAAAGCACAATCATTTCGCTTCATGCGCTCGATCGAGATGATCGACTGTTAAGCAAAAGATCTCTCTATGCTCAATGTTTCCCTTACTGGCTCTCTCTCTCTCTCTCTTTCTCGATGCTCTCTGCTCTCTCAAATAAGTATATCTATGTATGCATGTGAGCACAAGCAGCAGCTCACAAAAATTGAAATTTCTTCGCAGGAAGAACCCATGTCATCCCTTCTGAGTGAAGAGTATTCTCTTCAAACTCTTCAAACCGTTTGCCATGCTCGTGCAAAAAGTTTGCGTTTTTGTCATTATTTGTGGGAAGGGTATGAAAGCGTTAGTGCACATAAACAAAATGTTTTCACTACATGTACTATGAGCATTTGTATGCCTGTGTGCGAAGCTCTTGCTGCCTGTAGTATATTTAAAGCCCAGCATTTGCATTTTGTAGATCTTGTGAAGTGCTGACATACATACATATATACACGTTTGATTGTGTGTACGCAGGGGACGCGATGCTCGCATTATATGGGGTATCAGTTGTAGAAGCATTTGTGTGCCTATGTGCCTGAATATGGGCTCGAGAATCGCGTTTATAGTTAAGTAGCTGCTTTTATTTAGATGATCGTGGGCTTCGCTATCAGAATTTATGATTTAGCCCAGTGTGCAAATTGAAATGCGATTTTCGATCCTGCACCTTTTGCACCTGCTTTATACCTGACTAACAAAAGTATCAAGTCAAGTGAATTTTATTAATTGTACATAGAGTTTTTTTTTTTTATATATGTATGTATTGCTTACATTAATAAAAGGCTTGAGCGCATAAATAATGTGCGGGCAGGTTTCAAGTACAATTCAGCCGACTCTAGGGGAAATCCAGCAAAAAAATTAAAATCCACAAAGGTTTTTCCAGTGGCTAAGAAACGCAAATTGCGGAAAATCTCTCATTTGGCGTTATGGCATACCTCATATGGGGTTACACTCATTTTATTTTGGGACCTACTAAGCTTAAGAGCTCTTCATACGTTGTCCCATCCATGCAGAGGAAATTTGTTGAGTGTTCAGGTAAGGATTCATTTAGCTTCCTCAATAATTTTGTGAGGGTGTACTTTTCTAGTTTGACATACAAATGTTTATTCCACATGGTCTCCACGAGATCTGAGAAGATATGAGAGCTAGGTACTTGAAATTTTGCATATGTACTCGTATAAACGAGTTTATCATATTTTTTTCGATAACTCATCCGATTCCCGTTTATCGAGAATAATGGATAAGCTGACTTCGTTTTTTCAACGTAATTTTAAAACTATTAGATCTGTAACATACAGATGTTGATATCACGCCCCCTTCGCCAACCCGTAAAAAAAAGTATTTTAAGTACTAGAGACATGTGTTTTGGAATACGCATAAATTTGAATTTTATTAAAGGTTTTATGGAGACAGGCCCACTCTTCAACAAATAAATTCTCATAATATTCCCCACACTGCAGCCCAAGTGCAGTCGCTGCTAACTGCGCAGTTAGCTAGACGAGCAGTTTCGACTAGATCACTCTTAATTTTTGTATAATCAGAGCTTCTGATTGCCTTGCCTTTAATTGAGCCGTTTTCGATATATATTAACTTTGATAGTATGAAAATTGAAGATTTACCATTTTTATTGTTGCTGAGCTTTAAAAATTTTATAATGGGAAAATGATAATAAATAAGAAGAACAGTTATTTTTATTAATTTTTTGTAAAGTCTATACAATGATTTTGAACTTTCTATCTATTTATCTTATGGATAATGTAATGCAAAGCCACGCCTTATATTTTACCTATTTAAGAGAATAAGTTATTTTCGTTGTGGCCATTTAAAAATATGTTTGAAAAAGTTAGATTACATTTAATAAATTAGATTATATGCATTTGCAAAGTTATTAAGCATAACATATATGTTAATAATCTGCTACTTCTTTATGTGGAAAATAAAATCTGTTTATCTCAGTTAATAGCAATGTTTCCATTATCATTTTCTTTTTTTTTATACATTACCGGCATGCATGAAATTTCACCTGGAAAGAGAAAACGCACGATTGGATGGGTATACTCTGATGCCACCAGTTGATATATTATAGTTTACAGCTAGTTAATTAATTAATTACTATCATAATTTATAGTACTAATAACTAGTGTGTTTGCATCTGTGTATATGTACATTTGAGTATATTGATGTCAAGTTAATGAGTAACTTTAATTTCACATAATACAAATATTACAAATATATCAAGCAACATATGCAAACTTTAAAATCAAATTTAAACTAATATAAGCCTAAAATAATTTTTTTATATGCGAGTATGTATGTGCCATTTGTCGTTATGGGTAGACGTTAATGGGAAGCAACTTGTTGCGATAACGAAGAGTGCTCGTAGTTAGAAAATAAAGAAAAGAAGAAATGTACCTTCATCTTATACCTCTTCTTGTGTAGTAGATAAAATTTGTAAACTGTTGTTTTATTGAACAAGTTGTATCCCGTAACAATAAAATTAAGTTAATAAATATTCAGTTTCACTATTCATATTACAAAAGCGTTGCGCTCATTATCTTTCTCAGGATAGGGGTGAAAGAGGTACGCAAATAAATACAAACTTTCATTAAAATTGGGTATTTGAAATAACTTTTATAATTTTCTAGGTTATCATCGACTTGGCATTACTGGTGACGCGGGTGGTATACCTATCAGGCTTCCTTGTACATTACTGTGGCTTACATTTGTACCAGACGAACTGACCGCTATACCCATACTATTCTCAGTATCTTTTTTGGATGTAGTGGATGAATGTATTAAAGGATCACTTATCATATGTTGTACTGATAAATTCATAGTAGATGGTTGTGTCCCTTTTCCAATTCCAATTGTAGTCAATTGTGTTTGAGGATTTTGCGAAGACGGTGGCACACTTGATGAAGCAATAACATTTACTCCCGATGGCTGCATTCGAAGATGTGTAGCAGAAGGACCTAAATGACCTACCGACGGTGGCGGTATGGGGCTCGGATCCTTACCTCGCAGATGAGCTGCCGATTGGGCTGCGTACATACTTAGGGCTTTCTGACGCTCTTCTGCTTCATGGCGGAAAGCTGCTTCCATTATGGGATTGTATCGCAGAATAGGTGCATAGGGATCCCGATATGGATCAATACCCCACGGAGTCGGTCCAGGTGGACCAAAATGTGTAAGTGGTCCACTGATACCCATTGAAGGTGGCATCATATTACGGGAAATATGTGATGTTGGTGGTGGTAATCCATGTCGACCCGCTACTAAGAAGTTGGCATGGTGATGTGCTGCAGCCACTGCTGCATTTGGTTGAACAGACACCAACGATGAAGGATGATATCGTGGATCTCCGACGTTCGCAGCTGCTGATGCACGCATAAGCAGGGCGTCTTGCTCCTCTTTCGATCGGGAATGTTCTTCTTTAATTCGTATTTCTGTATTCAGCTCACCAATAATACGGTGAGGTGACCGATCTCGAGGTGTGGATGAAGATGAAGCAACTATTGCTTGTTTGTTGCTCTCATTAATGCGTTGTTGCTGTAGCATACGTTCGCGTTCAACTTCTCGACGTTCTATTTCACGTCGCTCGCGCTCTTTGCGTTCACGTTCCCGTTCGCGTTCTCTTTCACGCTCCTGTTGTTCACGTTTTAGTTTGTCCTCTTTATCTTTACGCTCACGCTCTTCACGCTCCCTTCTTTGACGATCGCGCTCGCGCTGCTCTCGTTCACGTATCTCCCGCTCTCGATCTCGTTCTTCGGCTTCACGACGTGCATTCTCAATAAGATCTGATTTTATGGGCCAAACAGTAGGTCCAGCGGTAGCTGCAGGATGATATGGCATTGAGCGTGGTACTGAACCAGTTCTGAAATAATATTTTAATTGTGAAGTACATATAATCAATATTAATAGTTATTTAGTGAATAATATATATATATATATATATATATATATATATGAGCAGTGACGAGCAAAACTGTAACTGAATTCAATGTTGCAACTTTAAGGGTCTGTATTTTTACTTCGACTCTATGGATGTTTAAGATCTTAATTTTATTTTGTTAGTATATTTAGCTGTCTTACCTGAAAATTTTAAAACATTCGGTTGGCTGGAATAATTATGTTTCTTATATATATATAAAAATGTAATGAAAGTCAAATGTTACAGTCTTGCACTTCGGTTATTTTCCAGCAAATATATTTATTAATAATTATTTAATAATTAATGCATAGCTCATTTGACTTTTTAGGTCATTAATGCCATTTATCATAATTTTTGTGTACCGTCGCACCATTTCAGGAGGAATCGCGCCCCAAATGTTCACTTGGAGCCGCGCTTAATTCGCAGACTGTGATTTCACATGTCTCCATATATTTTCAATGATATTCATGTCTGAAGAATACTCTGGACACTTCAGGGACTTGAATCCTTGCGACATTGTCCTTTTTTTGACCAAATTAGACGTGTTTTTTGAGTCATTGTTCTGCATTTTTCAGTAGTAAGACCCATATAATCTTTGTTTGTGCTCCCCTAAGCCAATACCAGGATTGTGCATATGACTTGAAACTGTTAATATGGTAAGATGAAACAATAAACAACCATTTTGTGTCATATGGATAATCTCGGCACTAGCATAGAGGTCCAACAGTCCTGTTTGTTGATTGTAACAGTACAGTAAGGTTTTATGGTTTAGGGGAGCACAAACAAAGATTGTGATTGACCCATGGTTTTAATCGATGGAATAACGTTTCGGGATAATACCTGATCACATTACAAAAGAATTTGGGAGAATTAAATGAAAATATGGGGTTTACTATTGAAAAATGCAGAACAAAAAACAAAAAAACACGTCTAACTTGGTCAAAAAGTGGACAACATGGAAAGGATTCAAGTCCCTGAAGTGTCCAGAGTATTCTTCAGACATGAATATCATTAAAAAATTATGGAAATCGCAGCCTGCGAATTATGGGTGGCTCCAAGTGGAATGATAGAGCTATGTAAGAGGAACAAGTACATTTGGTGCGCGATTCCTCCTGAAATGGTGCGACGGTACACAAAAATTATGATAAATGGCCTTAATGACCTAAAAAGTCAAAAGAGCTATGCATTTAATATTAAATAATTATTAATAAATACATTTGCAGAAAAATGACCGGAGTGCAAAACTGTAACATTTGACTTTCATTACATTTTTTTTCTTATAATTATTCCAGCCAACCGAATGATTTCTAATTTTCAGGTAAGACAGCTAAATATCATACTAACAAAATAAAAAACATTGAATTCGTATTACAGTTTTGCTCGTCACTGCTCATATATACATATATATATATACTCATGATGAAAATAATTAGTACACCCCTTAAAATTAAACTTTTTAAAGTTTAGGTTAGCAAAACATTTTTTCTACTGCCCTAAACATGCAAATTTAAATGCACATTTCTGTATTTCTGTATTAGATATATATTAATAATAATAAGTCTAAAGTAAATAAGTAAATTTGGAAAACAAATTTATTTTTTCAAAAGTTACAAACAAACAAAAATTGAGTTTTTTGTGCTTGACTAAAGTAATAGGTACACTTTACCTTGGTAAACTGTGTTTCATTTTTATACTCATTCACGAAAGTGAATCAGTATATTGGTTTTGTGCTATGTCCGTCTTGCTGTCCGTCCGTCTGTCCGTCTGTCCGTCCGTCCGTCCGTCTATTTCGGCGCTATTGAAGCTAAACACTTGAAATTTGGAACCCATACTCGTGTATATTTTCGATTTATAAAGTGTTAAAATTTTCCCGATCCGCCCACTATGGGCGTGGCAAATCGGAAAAGTTTATATCTCCTAAAGTATAATAGCTAGAAGCTTAAAATTTATATAGTTCAGTTACTGGTAGCCTCCCCTATCGATTCCCCAAAAAATAATTTTTACGCCTCTTTAGGGGCGTGGCATATCGGAAAATACACTGTAATTTTCACTTTTTTTGAGGGTAAGCATTCAAACTTTGCAGTTAGGGTACCGTTATCTCGTTCTAAAAACTGACCAAAAATGAGGTGTCTACGCCCAGTTGGGGCGGGCAAATCGGAAAAACCTGTATATTCTACAGTATTAGAGCGAAACTTAACTACTAAATTGTTGATGGGATGTCATGATTAACAAACACAAGATCAAGAGTGCGATTAAGATGGTTTGAAATAGAGTTCATCTGAAACATAGACAGGTTAAACAATTCATCAAAAAGATAGTGATCAATTGTCGGAATAAAAAAATTTGCATTACAAGTTGAAGACCAAGAAGTGTTCGGAATATTAAAATCACCCAACACAAGAAGACAATCTCTATCATTTACATGTTCATTAACTTGTTTAATACAATTTATGTGGTGAGCATAAACTTGTACATCAGAAGAGGGAGGGATATAAGAACATGTGATGTATAATGAGCACGATGGCAGAGTTAATTTAACCGCTATAATCTCCACATCATAAAGGGACGAAAAGGTAAACAATTCAGAGTGGATAATGGACTTAACCGCAATTAACACCCCACCACCTCTGCGCGACGAACGGTCGAGTCTATAAATAGTGAAATTACTTGAAAGAATTTCACTATTATGAATATTACTGCCATGTTTCAGTGAAAGCGATAATATCATATTGTACACTGAAACTATGCAAGAAAAGACTTTTAAGTTTTGAGTTTAAGCCACGTACATTTTGATAAATCAGGGACAGCTGAGAAGAGGTTTGTAAGTAATTTAGTTTTTTGGTACAACGTTTGATGAAGATTGCACCGAAGGTAAATTTACTGAAATAGGCATCGATCTGTTACGATTTTTGGGTTTAAATTCATGAACAACTACATGAGGTGGCCAGAAATTAGGGTCACAAAGGGTTTTAAAGTGTTCTACAGGCACATTGATTTTGAACGAAGCAATTTCACGCGGTGTCGCAAAACTAAACTTCGATATAAAAACATTAGCCGGAATCTTATTTGAGATAAAAGCCGATACTGCCTCAATGGTAGTGTCAGATGAAAGCCTAGATAAGAAAACTTGCTTTCTAGGAGAGACAACAGATAAGGTAATGCTTTGAGAGGCTGACTTATTGTCACTCTTTGTTTGAGCAACAATAGAAGTAGCATCCAAATTTGGGACAGGGGCTTGAGTTTCAATAGAAGCCTCAATAGGAGAAATAGATATGGGACAAGGTGAAGGAGGATCTAGAGAATTGGGAGCCGACGACAAAACAGAAGCGCAAGGTGAGGGAGGAGCAAGCGAATTAGGTGACGGTACTATTACAGAAGGAGTTACCGACAACAAAGGAGTATCCAATTGAGAGAGGACTTTCAAAGCCGTACTGATTTAAGATTACCTCAGCAGCAGCCATGTCACTGGTCAACTGCATAGAAATCTTCTTCAGTTTTAAAAACTGAGACCTCACAGCACTATACATTTTAGAAAAGTTTATTTGTTTTTCCAAACAAATCGGACAAGACCAGCGTATGCCTCCACTACCAGCTTTAGTAGTAGACATAATCTTGTCATATTCACGCCCAGTAAGACCTGCACACTTAGTATGCATCATGTTATCACACAGCCAGCAACTTATAAATTGCGCTTGTGCAGAATCAACTGTTTGCCTGAAAGTGCAAGCTTTTTTGCAGCAACTCATATTGGCAATCGGGATAGATCACAAAATTACTGAATGTAAACAGAAATGTCACAACAAAGAGAGGTATAAATGTGTTGAGAGCGAGTCCAACAACAAACAGCCGTTACAGAGCGCAACGAAAATATATGTTGAGAGAGCGAGTCAACAACAAAAACAGCCGTTACGGAGCAGATCAAAAGTCCTCAGCGAGAGAGTATACTTGCACACCACAAAAATCAAAGATTCAAGAGAGGCAAATACAACAACCGTAGATAGTGAGAGCAACTTATGCACACACTCACACAAACTTAGAAAGAGTGAACTGGGGAGAGCGCCAACAAATAGAAACACTAAAGCAAAAATGCAAATAATGAAACTAATGAACCGACACTGCACACAAAGCTTCACAAATTAAAAAAGCAAATTATTAAAAACGCAGTGAACAACGGATCAAACCTTGCACAGGATAATATAGATATTTGCTGTATACAACCGAACCGCAATTATGTGAAATTTAATAAAAATAATTAACTAAGAAAACAAGAATAATTGAAGAGCACAATAGTAAACACGTCTGTTAACTCTCACTGAGAACTCTCTATATGTGAATGAGTATTCCGCAGTCGGTAACGCCCGACTGCTACGGTCATACTTGTTTGATTTTCAAATCATACCAAATCATTTGGTATTCTATTTTTGGATTAATATCCTGTATATCCTATTTTATTTTCAAAAAAAATGTTCTATCCAGTTCGACATACACCTAATTATAAGTTGGCAGGTCTCATTCGTAATCTTCCTCCATGTTTCTTGGACACAGTCCCCTATTGGGAGTTTGTTCTCACACTTTTTCTTTACAATCTGCTTTTTCAATTGACTACACACGTTTTCGATTGGATTCAGATTCAGGAGAATGACTGGGCCGAGCGAGAGTGTCCACTTTACTAACCTCAAACCAAGTTTTTACTAATTTAGACGAGGGTCTCGGGCCGCTATCCTGTTGACAAACCCAGCGCAGAGGCATATTTTCCTCAGCATATGGTAGCATTATATTTTCTCATAATGTCAGATATTAGGATAATCAGACGATACAGAAGCACACCATAATGTTTCCACCGCCATGCTTCACTATTTTTTTGTGTAGCGAGGACAAAATTCTTTACCTTTAGGGAGTTTTACATGCCTGGTATAATCATTTCTATAAAGTAGAGCTCGCAA